TGTGATCATCCAAACATGCCCTAAATTCCATTACTAGTGTACCTATACCATCAAAAGAGGTTAAACATCCACGTAATTAAAGATTCGAAAAGAGGAAAAATCTAACCACCGAAGATTCTACGTGGGGTGTTCTGGGGCGTTTGAGAATAAGCTGGGAGTATGGATGGCTCCCTGGGATCTTCAGGAAGACAATATGAGGATTGGTTTGTCCTAGGAGCAACTGGATCATATGTTGTGAGTTTTGACAACTTTTGGATTTTTTGTGAAATTTGTATGGCTTGCTTCTGTGACTTATGTGTGAGTTTGGCTTGCAAAAATGACCCTTATATAGAGGAGATGAAGGGGACAAGGTAAGAAGGAAAGAAATCAAGGCATAAACATGTTGTTTAAAGCCATGATCACAATTTGAAAAATTACCAAAACTTGAGATTTCATGCCATTTTCATATTTGGATGAACCTGGACATCTTGGCACGAATTTTTGGGCTTCTAGGCAAGACAAATCATCATCCCAAATGCCAAAGCCCGTCTCCATTTATTTTGTACAATTTACTTTGTATTTATTTGAAATAAATATGAATAAAATAGATGAAAATGGTAAGGCAGTGTAAAAATGAGATTAGAGGTCCTCTGTAAGTTTAAGAAGATAGTTTAAGCCCAAGAAAATAAGCCATTGACCTAAAAGTTTAAGTTTGCTCAATGCACATTTCTTAAAATTTCCAAAATTCTCCCAACTTGGGAAAGCCATAACTTGCTCAATTTTTATCCCATGTTGATGATCTTGAACTCTTTGGAAATCCCAAGATGTCTGCTTCAATCCCTATTTTGATCAATTTTGCATTCGAAGAATTGTCTTTATGTAAATGGCCTTGACAAAAAGTGCCTTTTATTGACTTTCTAAAAATGACTTGTAATGTATAAGCTTGTATCTTTCAAATGGTGCATCTCTTGAACTTGAGGACAAAAGATAAGTTGTAGGTAATTAGATTCTCTTCATAATGAGCTTTGGTTAGGGGAAAATGGATGAAGTATGTGAAAGTTATGCCTGGTCAAAGTTCCGTTTACTTTTCCTATAGAACCCTAATTTAGCAATTCTTGACTTTTGATAGATTAGGAGCATTTCTTGAGGAATCATGACCAACCCTTGATAAAATGATGGATATCACTTAAAAATGTTAATGTTGACCAATAATCTTGAAGTTTGACTGTATTTGGGCCACAGTTGACTTTTGACCTAGTACAATTGATTTTCAAGGATTTGAGCAATTGACTGAGCAAACTTGTAGTGTAAGGCATGAAAATTATCATGGACAATCTTGAGGGTATATCAGGACAATGGAAAACATTTGAGACCTTTGGAGCTCACACATCTTGATGAAAAGTGAAACCCTAATTAGAGGTTCATTGCTTAGGAGGAGAATTTATCTGGTCAATTCTTGGTCAACCTTGAGCAATTTAGAACCTCTAAGAGCATGTCTTGAGTAAAAGTGGGAGGGCAAATTTTGTGGTACAATGTGTTCTAACAAGATTGCTTTTCAAGAATAGCAATGGTGTCTTTATGCCATAAATAGAAAGATCTTTTGGACAATGGCTAAAACACTTGGGCAATAGCTCAAAAGTAGGTGTAAGCATTAAATTATGGTGAGATTTGAAAGTTAGAAGGCCTGTAACACAAGATTATGTAGCATAGCATAAGGATTTTGTTATGTGTTCTTCAACTAAAGGACTTGCAATTCAAGGATGGATGCCCAACTTCATACCCTTGAATCTCCTAGCTCAAGTATGATAAATTCATGCTCTTGTATGTTTTGGAAAGCCTAAAACATCCTCTATAACTTTCATGTTGACCATTTTGACAAAATTATCTTGGAACTATGAAAAAATGCCAAGAAGTTGGGATAAAATCCTTACCAAAATCTGTTGAAAATTTCGAAGTGTTGGATAACAATGTCATGACTTCATGGGCTCATATCTTCAAATCTAAGCATTTTTTAGACATCAACCCTCTAATACAAAGTTGTAGAATTAATCAAGATCTGCAACTTCCATGTTGAAAGTTTCCTTTAAATCATCTTGCATCATGGTGAAAAATTGGTATGAAGTTATGAAATTATCATGTTTAAGACACTTAGAAAAATTTCAAAGTCTTGAAAAGTTTTACTTTTCAAATTGACTTTTGACTTTCTTGATGATCAAGTTTCATATTTTTGAATTTCTAGATGAATTTTGATCTTTGAAGCTTAATGTTGACCAAAAAGTAAAAGTTTGACTTTTGGTGTATCAGTTGACTTTTCATCAGTTTACCAAATTTCAACTATCAATCCATTAATCTTGAGAGATGAATTGAACCATGCAATTAGGTCAAGATGATATATTTGAATCCTTGATATTGTGCTTCAAGCCATTAGGTCATGTATTAGATTAAAAGTTAATGATCAATCATTCTCAGTCAAAACCCTAATTTGGAGTCTCAGTGTTCCGGAGGTGATTTTGTTTGATCAATTTCTTGAGAATACTTGAGCATTGGAGATCCTTTGTGAGGAATGTCTTGAGAAAAGAGAGGGAAATTTTGGGGTACAACAATCTTCATAGAAACTACTTTCATCTTCTTTCAAGATGACCTTGGAAGAGTAGGTCTCCAAGGAAATGCTTCTACTTTTTTCTTCTAATAATTGTTTTATTTTTAAACCAAATTAAAACACAAATACTTCATGATAAGACAAGTCAACTTTACGAATAATTATGAAACAACAAAAGTCTTCAAGCTAGACAACTAGGTTTTCGGTTACCTACGCATAATTCAAAACTTTGTTAGCACAATCCTATTTAGATATAGTCACTTTGAAATTCTAACTAATTATTATAAAATTATTAACAATAAAAATTATATTGCTTTAAATAACTCTGGTTCATTTAGTTAATGACATCAAACAAGTATCATGATGACTTTTAAACGTATCAATTCCGCTTAAAAATAACAGAATTCTATTGAACACACCCTTCAAATATTTCTACCTATAACCTCAATTTTTTAAGTCGCATGACATGATTAAAAGACCAGCTTTGGGGTCAATTATTGGTGGAGACTATGGGGATTTAATGGTTTGGAAGGGGTTTGGGGTTGAATAGATTGATCACATTAAAACCATTTTCAAAATCATTTATTTTACAAAATCAAAGTTTCACAAAATAATGCGCAAAAAGCGAGCGGAAAAAAATATAGTGAATGGTTTGAAAAATATATGTTTCAATGTCAAACATAATTACATGAGATAGTCAGAAATTAACACAACTGAGATAGATGAAGTTGCTTTAACAAGCAATACACCAATGACTGTAACTCAAATTTTGCACATGGGTCAAATTTGATTAAAATCAATTTATTGTTCAATATAATATTAAAAGTCTTTGCAATCATAATCAAGGAATGATATACTTAATGGACTAAATATATCACATACCTAAGCTTATACATTAAATAACTATAAACAAGGTAAATCTAATCACATGATATTCCAAAATAGAAAACAACTTAAAGCATGCAATATTATCCACAAAAAAAGGATAAAAGGACAAGAAGAATGTGCGCCACATTTATAATGGTTCAACTTATTTATCCTTGCTAGAGCTTACTCCACCTTATTAATGGTTTCACCATTGAAAATCTAAAGGATCTCCCACTATTTTTAAATATAATACTCAAGTATTCTTGGTACAACGAATAATTAACAACTCTAAACATTACAAATTAATTGCTTTAGACAACACATGTCTAAGTCGATTTTCCCTTATGTTGTAGTAGAATACTGGAACTACAAAATTTCAATATCTTCACTTGATCTTGATCCAACGATCTTCTATACATTAAAATCCTGCTTCAAGCTTCCGGTCTGCAACCACCTTTACTCATCCCCACCAGTACCCCATCAGAGTGTTTATTCTATACAAGAGTGATTGTATAACTCCCAAATTTTTTCTACATAAACCTTTACTCTATCCTAGTTAAGTATTCTATATAGTACATAGAAACTCTTTTGTTGTTGGATTCCGATTTCCATATACCATATACATAAAAGGAGTCTTTATCCCAATACACTCAACAAAACTTCACAAAAAAAACATTAGTTTTCCTAATGTACTTTAGATATACCATTAAAACTCAATATTTATATTGAGCACCACAACAATGGTTCCTTGGTTCAAAGTTAAAGATGATGAAAGTTTTCTAAAGATACGACCCAACACAACTTATACCTCACAATATCAACATTCTTAGGAATTTTTCACAATCTTGAACTAAGGAGAAAGATTGTTTGTGAAAGGAAAAACTCTCATGAGTTTTTCTCATGATTTATGAAAATAAAGATTTCATCTCACTAGATATCTTTCTGGAAAAATATTATCTCTTTTTAGATATCAACATGAAAATATCTCATGTAATATCAGTATGATACATCTAACATCTTCCAGGAAAAATGACACAAATTTTTTAATATAGGTGCTAGAGGATAGTCACAAAATATGAAGAAAAGAAAAAATTATTCGAGTCAAATCACATGGTTATGATTTGAATAAAAAAAGAATGACTTGAATCAAGATAGTAAAATTAGAAAGTTGTCATTTTATTTTTAATCATGGTTCGTACACATAATTCGAGTCAAACAAAAGCATTATTCAAATAAAGATTATTTTTGAAAAATATTTGATTGTTATGATCCGAGTCAAAAATCCTTGTGATTAACTCGAAAAGTATTGTGATTCAACTTACACATATCCTTGATTCAAATCAACTTGACATGCACAAAATCCATATTTTAGTTGATGTTACCGTAGTATGCTTGATTTAAATGAAGCTTTAAAAGATCATGTTTTAAGCTTTCTAACTTGTGATTCTAGACACACTCGGCATATTGACTTTGACCAACTTAGTCAAGCTAAAAAACATATTATAATTAGTTCAAAACTAATTTGTTGAATGTAAGGGTTGTTAGATCTTTGGGTATGATAATCCTGGATAACTTCGAAGAATCGTGTTCGTACACTTTCCGAACAAGGTATTTCGACCCTATTCTTGCCTGGGTTCACGAAATCTTTGTGGGGATAATTCTCGAAGAACAATTTGTTTCTGGCAAAAGAAACTGATTACAAATGTAGAGAGAAAGTGTCGTTTTTCGTATTTGAAACCGAGGCCAAATGAATCCTTATATAGGAGATCAATAACTGAAACCGAAAAGACACACCTGTTCGAAAAAGACACACCATGTCCGCACCCCGCCAGGGGCTTCGCCCCTTGGAACCCCAACGGGGCGCTGCCCCGTACCCCGCCAGGGGCTTCGCCCCTTGGAACCCCGTTTCAATTATTCATATTCAATTATACATTGGCTCGACGAGCATGCACTCCACACTTCCCTAACTCGTTTCCAAGCTTAACGCATAATTGCATCGGCCTTTAGTAAATCACATTACTACTAAAATATATTGGTGATACTAAAATCACCAACAAGGGTAGCCTATGTTACAATTTTAATCAAATGATCAAACAATACAATCAGAATTTTCTAACTCCAAGCCAGAATGTTATTTTGAGCTGATATTTGATCATTGGGTCCGTGTGAAAATTATCTTCATTTTCCGCGTTCGGGATGGGATCCAATGGGGCACTTAAGATGGTCAAATAATTTTGTTACTAAGTTTTCAAGTTACCGATCAACGGTATTTCTGGTGTTTAGAAATTTATAGCTCTGACTAGGTATACTGCCTCGAGGTGGTTCTTTCACCATTAAATCCTCCTCGGTATTCTATCCACTTTCAGTGTTCGGGCCAAAGGCTAATTCTCGAGGGATAATCTCCAAATACGCGAATCTGTCAGAATTTAAACAGTGTAAAATATTAGTAAAAGTTGGCTGAACCGCTGTTTCGGGCACATTAAAAAATTCATAACTCCTAGCTGGAGTACTGTAGGAGCACGAATCCAGTGCCTAAAATTCTATCTAGATGTTATCTTGACACCGTCTTTTATGACCAAGATCTTATTCTACAAGAAAAGTGGTGGGAATTTCGAGTTCCTAAAAAATAATTGAGTAGAATATGGAATCTGTTAGGTTGACTTCCAATATTCAAAAATTCATAACTCGATCAATTTTCATCGTATAACGTCAGTTCTTGGAGCGTTGCTTCAAAAATTTCGTCTACTTCAATTTTGTTTCATATCTTTAAAGAAAACAGTAGCCCGAGGACCTCCGTTTTTGGTTTACTTTGAAAAACAAAGTTTTTGAATCTGGTAAAAATGAATGGACGTCGCTCCACTAAAAAATTCATAACAAATTCATTGTTTATCAGACGATTCTCATTATTTTGACACGACATCAAGGACATGGAGATCTATATTTATTTTGGCAAAGTTCAAACGAGATTCTGATTTTTTAGGCACGAGCTTGCGGCTTGTTCGAGTAACAGAGGTCAAATAAGCTGATATTTTGACTTAATTAATTTTTGATAGTGACGTCCCACCACTTAAACGTATCGAACTCACTCAAATTTTATCAGAAAATATACGTGTTTTTTGGGTGACGTTCGTGACTCAGAGCCGGACAATTTCTCAGGAGGTCAGTGTTCGGGAAGTTTCACGGATCACAGTGTTATTTTCACTTAAGCGGAAAATATGCTGAAATTTCAATTTTGGAGTTAATACTATATATTCAAATTTGCTCACAAATTCAAGAGGAGCTCTCATATTTTCAAAAAATAACACTTTCCCTCGTTATTCTCTCTTTCAACTCTCTCTTCTCCCTCACCTTGCACCACCATAAACCACCACCAACTCCGGCCAAGCTCCCACCAGAACTCCCTCCTCCGACCACCACTGTGACCACGCCACCGCCGCCTAGATCTGACGACCTTCTCTCTCCGCTCAACGGTGCTTCGCGTGCTAACTCCCTATGTTCTTCACCGTGCAAGTTGCGCGCATCGGGCCTCCCTCCGGCCGCGTCCCTCCATTTCCCGCGCCCATCCCCACCGTGTCCTTCCTCTTCTTCCGACGAGTTATTTTCTTGGGTCAACACTCATCATCTTCATCTTCTTCCTTTTTCAAGTGTTGCTCCAAAAGGTAACACATAAACCTCCATTGATTTTGTTTCTTGAGCTTGAATTTTGTGGATTGTTGTATAATTAGGTATTAATTAAATATAATTAGGATTAGATAATATAGTTTATGTAATTCTAGAATTGAATTAGAGATTATATTGTTGATTCACATTGTTTAGGTTAATTCAAGAATTGAATTAGTATTATACTCATACTTAGGTTATAATTTAGTTCTAATTCTTGAATTAGTGTAGATTAACATTTAGGAATTAGTTTTAATTCTTGGATTTAGGTAGAAGGTGATGTAAAGATTAGTTCTAGTTTAGGTAAATTCTAACACTAACTTTGATTTAGGTTTTGTAACATACTAACATTAGCTTAGTTTAGGCCTAATTCTTTAATTTCAAGTATTGTAATATGTTTCCAACTATTTGGTTGATGATCATTGATATTTTTGTGCATCTTGAAATGCATTTTATATATGACTTTAAGTTACTAATTCTTAACATAAAGTAACTATTTTACCAATTGTTGATTGATTACTTGTTGTTTGTCATTTCCATGAGTTTAGGTAAATTTTAATGGACTCAAATATCATTGCAAAATACATTTGATTTGAGTTTGGTTGAGTTTGGTGGAAAATATCTCAACACTTAAAAAATGGTAACTTTTGACAAAATTGATGTTTTTGCTCTAACTTTTAATCTGTGATGAGTTTTTCCGACTTTCAATAATGAAAACCGAGTTTCTTGAGGCATCTGGAACTCCTCTCGTGATTACTTTTTCGATTAGAACAAATTTTACTCCGTTATTATGCTACTGTAGTAGTTTTAGAAATTGTACTTTAGAGTGGAATTTGGCCGAACCGAGTTGATTTTTGGAACCGTTGACATGTTTCTATGTCATCTTAATTTTTACGATTAATTTCGAACACTTTTCAATTAGTTTCTAACTTTATGTTTCAAGTTTTTTTGTGCATTATCTTGTGTTTCATTTTTTTTACTTGTGACACAATTTTTGTGTGTTGGTCTATACTAATGCTTGACTTAGTTTGCACCTTAACATTAAAATGTTAGAGAAATTTGGCATTGGATAGATAGCTCATGAGGTTATGTGTTGAATTTTGAGTTTATACTTCAAGTGAAAAAGTGTTGATAACTCACGAGTTAAATATTTGATGTTAATACTTCTTTAGTATTTTGATATCAATTAGCTTTTGATTCACTATTTCATTAGTTTCTAATCAATTCAATTGTTACTTTTCCAATTACAAGTTGTAGGCAAACATGTATGTGTTAATGTCCATCACAAAAGTGTCAAAATATTGATTTCAATTTCATTTTGTGGTGAATGTAAACAAGTATGTAATGTTGTCCACGACTTGTAATTAATGCTATAACATATAATTTATATCAGGATTTGAGTTTTACCGCATCTGTTGGTATTCTGGTTGGATATTGGAATAATTTCCTTTACATTTTGTCGTGAAATTTTGAGTGTTCTAAAAACAACACCAATGTTGTCCGGATTAGTGAATTATATGCATAATGGCATTCTTATCTTGTTTGCATCATTTGATTGTTTATGGTTGTGTCATTGTTGATACCAGTAACTTATTTCCATGTTTTTTAACCAATTTTTGAGCTTGTGTACATGAGTATAAAGTTGTTTCCCGGGAATGTTATGCTATGCTCATGTAACATGTTTATTTTGCCTTGCACATATTCATGTTTCATTTTTTATACCTATTGCTAATTTCTATTATTGCATTTGATTTTGTTGTTATCTACTAACAAATTTTGTGAGATGTGCATACTTTGAGTAGCCAATTTGGATACCAATTGCTTTGGTGAAGGATACGCTTTGCTTGCACCTATTTTTCACGCTTCTGACGCTGTTTATTATTGATGCTAGCTTGTGGCGCCTTCCGAGTTTCTTACCCTCGTTGAGTTTGCTTTACGGATTCTTATTATCTGTTTGGTATGGTTTCAGGCCATTTGTTGTAATATTACATTTATCGCTTTCTAGAGATCATGTATAGTAGGGGCATTTATCACATTCTAGATATCATGTAAAGTAGGAGTCGTTGTTTAAAGTCCCATGGAGGAACCACTTTCTGTATGCTAATTGTGTTTGTTTAACGTCCTGTCTCTTAATAGGAAGTTCTTCACGTGTACTTATTTTCTCGCATGTTTTTGTGTCGTTCTCGATGATGAGTTCAATACTTGGTCTTAGATTCATTCTCGATGATGAGTTTGTTCCAAGTGGATTCGGTTTACATTACCATTGTTTTTTGTGTCGTTCTTGATGATGAGTTTGATACTTAGTCTTGGATTCATTCTCGATTTGAGTTTGTTCCAATTGGATTAAATTTTGGTTCATACTCGGATGGGTGTGCTCCTTTTACATTACTATTTGTCATTTATAATTATGTCAAAAATACAAAGAAAGAAATAATAATATTGTGCGCCTGGTTCATACCCTGATGGGATGTTCCTTTGAAGCTTGGTTTTGTTCACTCTCGATGATGAGTTTGTTCCCTCTTTATTTTACTTGTTGTACAAGCATAAAAAGAAAAGAAATACTTAGATATTATTTGTTGTGGTTCACTCTCGATGATGAGTTTATTCCCTCTGTTGTGTTGGTTCACTCTCGATGATGAGTTTGTTCCATTTGTTTGTTTTTCATATGCGCTTATCTCTTTGTACCTTTTGTACTTGCTTTCTTCCATTTTCCATGCTCCCTTAGGACTTGCTGTTTACTCTCGATGAGGAGTTTATTTTGAATAGAAACTAGGACGGTTCTTTCTCGGATGAGTTGGTTCCTAGAAAACCTTGGTTCGAGTCTTAAGTCTATATTTGTATGATAACTCTAGGCTTAAAAAATAGGTTAGTCCCCCGTAGACTCTTCCTTTTTCCCCATTTTTCATGTGCATAAAATACACTCTTTCTTGGCAAATCTTTAAAATGCCTCTAATAAACTCAAAATCCTTTCGCAAAGGTAAAAGACAAAAATAAATTCAAGCTTCTCTTTCTTGTCTTTTGGATTTTCAATTTCAAATTGGATGTGTTATTTTCCTCTCTATGCAATACGATGCAATAATTCCCCAAAGGTTGGGTTGCACTATGTCTACTTGCTACAAGTTGCAATTATAGCATTATCCAACTACGGGAACTTTTTAAGCACATTAATTCCTTTCTACTCCAGATGCGTGAGTCTCCAAAGGTCGAGCTGCAGGTAGAATGCGAAATTGATGTTCTTCCATAAAAAATACAAACCTACCAAAACTATTGAGCCAAACAACAGTTGCTCTGATTCCTTAAAAGGGATACGTAGGTGGAGGATTTTATGGGGCCTAATCGAGCACAATTTGTAAATACTTCTTTGTTTTCCCCACACTTTTTCTTCTTTCTTTTACATACATACCTTGTACAGCTTAGATATATATTCTTACACACCCATTAGCTAAACAACAAGAGTGGATACCGTAGAGTACTATGGACGTGTAGGGTGCTAATACGTTCTCCTCACGTAACCGAATCCCTTACCCAATTTCTTGGTCGAAAGACCGTGATTTCTCTCTTTCAGGTTTTCTTCGAAATTTCCCTTTCTCCTTTGTGAGATAAATAGATGTTCGATGGCGACTTCATTGATTTTTATCCGATGAGTTTTGTCCAGTTCCTTCAGATGGCGACTTCAGTGGGGACAAATAGACCTATTGCTGGTCCATCCCAAAGTTGATCCTAGCTCTTATTTATTTACTATTTGGGTGTTTATTTACTTTCAGTTATTTACAGCTTTATATACACTGCTTGCATATGTTTGTGCATGCATTTTATCACTTTCCATATACTGCTGTTGTGTTGGATATGTGTTTCTTTGGTGGGTGGGTGTTACAAGAGGTAAAAGGCCCATTACTCAGGCCAGAGTGTATGCCATTAGGAACACTAGGAATAGATTGGAGAATCATGATGGACGATAGGTGTATGCCCTGTCACCATCCGATTATAAAAGCCACGGTCAGTAAGGTTCAGTGAGGTATTATCAGCATCACGGATGTGCATGATGATAATACTTTCAGGTGACCAATGATTTGATTATCCATGACCTACCTTGACCTAGTTATACCCGTGAGTAGGTGGGATAATTGATTCTCACAAGTACATATTGGTGACTATGCTTAGTTGGTGACTGTGGTGATCTTATTGGTGACTATATGGCTTTCAGATTTATTTTCCGAGTTGCTGGTTTGATATTCACGAGGATTTCTGGTTATGTTTCGGACCTTTGATCTTGGTTTTCTCAGTGTGTTCAAGAGACCTTATAGCACAACAGCAGTATCATGGAAGCCTTGATCCCATGACCGTCACACTTGCATCATAGCATATTTATTTTTCCGAAAGAAATGCAAAAAAATAAGTATCTAACTATCATGTGCATGATTATTCCAGGGTATTTCGAGAGTTTTTGTCTTCGCCAAATGGAAGTGATAACGGAAAGGAAGCCATCAGGCATACCCATGGTTACAAGTTCTCTAGTTCTCAAGTTTCACTTCTTAAGGGGTTGAGTACACTGTTGGTTGATGATAATCGAAGCGAGTTCATTAGAGTTTTTGGAAGTCTGTTGTGGTTACTCGATGTTGATGTTGATCAGAAGGCTTTGGTGACACTATTGGAGTTCTATGATTCAAGCTTGAGATGTTTTACATTTCAATATTATCAATTAGCTCCCACTCTGGAAGAATACGCCCATCGGTTGCGTTTGGAAGTTAATGATCGTGTGTCATTTACCTGTATTCCTGAGAAGATAAAGGAGAGTTTCATTGTCGGTGCTCTTTATTTGAACTTGAAGGAAGTAAAATACAAATGGGGGCCGAATGAGGGAGTTTATGGTTTTGACTTGGCATTCTTGAAGAGAAAGGCTCAAGATAGCGCTGATATAAAGAATTGGGTCACTTTCAATGCACAGCTAGCTGTTATGATCTATGGTATAATCCTTTTTCCAAACAAGAAGTAGTTTGTTTATCTAGCTGCCATTTGTGTCTTCATGACCAAAAATCTGGTGCCAACACTGTTATCAAATACTTATTATGCTATCCATTCAAGGCATATGAAAAAGTGGATTGTTGACATTTGTGTACCAATGTTAAATTGTTGGTTCATGCTTCATCTTCCTAATAAGGGTTCATTTACGGATACTAAGAAATCTCTACAATGGGGAGAAAGGATGGTTACACTCACTTCCCATAACATATGTTGGTGTTTTCTCTTAGACGGAGGTCCGTATATTATCATTTGTTGTGGGAAGTTTTCCAATGTACCTCTCATAGGAACTCAAGGATGTTTGAACTATAACCCTGTTCTAGCATTCCGAAAATTGGGATACATTATGAATGATCGACCCAATGATTTAGAAGTTGCATAAATGGTGTATTTCGAGAGGAGAGCAAATCCAGAATTGCTGCTAGAATTAAAGAAAGCATGGACACGGATTCGTAGGAGAACCAAAGAGTCCATGGGAAGAAAACTTGCTCTTGCCAGACCTCCTTATGTCGAGTGGGTCTAAGATAGAGTTAATTCTATTTTGTTGACTTTCAAAAGGAGAGCTTCATTATGCGAGCAACCACTGCTTATCTTGTCAGCATTAGGGCCTACTGAAGAGTATGATCTGGTTCAAGTTGGGAACATAGAAATTCGTCAGAAAGATCAAGAGTTGAACATGAAACTTTTTATGGCCAGAGCAGACAAGTTGGATTTGGCTCATAAGCTCAAAAAGGCTGGTGAAGGGATTCCTGGGGTTAGGAGAGCTAAGAAACGACTTGGAGTACAAGAGGATGTCTTTATTTTTGAAGGGTTCCTAGAAAAGTTATCAAAGGCGCCGAGAAGAGTCGGCGAGAATGTGTGAAGCTTCAAGAAGCTGAAGCTAAATACAAAGAGGAAATTAAAGAGCTGAAAAAACAACTTAGAAGTGCCATATTAGACCAAGCTCATTCGGAAGAGGAAGAGAGTGCTCATGTGCCAATCCCACTGCCAGAATGTAAATAATGTGACGTGTTTATCGTTGAATGCCAAAACCTCCAGAAGACTCTATACAAGAAAGATATTGTCATCAAAAGCTTTATGGAAATACAAGATTGAGAAGAGACCAAAGAATTTTTCTAAGAAACTAAAAATTGGAGCGCTGGATATTTCGGGCGATCAGGGTTGTTGTTTGGTGCAAAGATGAAATATCCTCCTATTTGATTATTGTTCTTCCTTTCATTTTTATGATCACCACCAGACTTGTTGGTTGGGTTCTTTATATCTCATGATGTTCTTTTTGTCGTTTGTTTGTATAAACTCTTTGATTTGAAGCTTTCCATTTAACGAAACATTGTTTTAGTTATACCTCTCGTGCCGATATTATTTATTGATGTTATCATGGCTTGTTATTTCAGGTGGCCTAACAATACTATGGAATACCCTGGGAATGATTAATATATCATGCATATCATATCATATCATGCATTACAGGTTTTTCAGACTGGAATTCTTATCATGCTTCTACTTTTATTTAGCAAAAATTGAAAATCCAGTCTCTCACTGATATTCTATTAAAAGCAACTTTCCACGTCAGATGGAACTCGTACAAGAAGAGATTTAAGAAGTCAGGGCTCAGATGGCTACACAGATGACTCAGTTCATGGAGGCCATCACCAACATGAATCGTAAACAACAAGAGTTAAGGGCTCTTGTGGAGAAACCTCGTGTTGAAGTGGAACGTCCGAAATTCGAAGACTTCTCAGTAGGGCAGTTGCGTCCCCAGCTGGTTGTGAACTTGAATGTTAATGGCCATATTCATGACCAGGGTATATAGTTCAATCAGTTTCGTTTCCCTCCGATCCCTCCACCACATCTCCTAGATGGTAATCCTTATGGATAGGGTCCAGATGTGGGTTTTCATGATGACA